ACATGTATCCAAATGTGAAACTTAACCATCTATACAAACAAACATGCTCATATCATCTTATCTTAGTTCATGCCATAAACATTCAAGCTCATAAATGCAAATAACAAACATACTAGTACACTTGAATTGCCACCAAATCCTCTAATCAAGCACAAGAACTCTAATAGAAGTCAATTTACAATAATTATCATTAGACATTATTAGTGACTAATTGTCATTAATTAACTCTTAATCATAATTAAGACCTAAAACTCCTATTGGCGTCATTAATCATAAACAACCCTATTTCTAGTTTCCATTAGTTTATTTAACCTCTCATGAGCTTTATTATCACTGTTAAACTAGCTCATTAATTTAAACTTTGATTACTTGGTATTGAGATTAATCTTAAACCTATTAGTTTAAACTTTGATTACTTAGTAATGGGATTAATCTTAAACCCATTATGAAATTATAAACATTCCCATTAACTTAACCCAATGATTAAACACTTAGATCAACATTCATTAATTAAAAGAAGTTAAAAACTAGGTGAAATCAATATCCATTTTTGGGACTCCTCTACTAATAATCCTAAAACATCAAGAAAAATAGACTAGAGAGGAATTGGAAGGAGTAAGAGACCTACCCAAACAATTTCAAGCCCTAAATCACTCCAAATGGATGCCAAGATCAGGCAGTAGTGCCTCTTCGTCCCTCTCTCGAACTCCCTCTCAATCTCTCTATTTTTTTATCTATTTTGTGAGTCTAGAATTTAAAATCTTGATGTATCTGCCACAACACATTGTGCCATTTGCCATAGTGGATGATATTGTAAAATCTTCCTTTTAAACACAGTTAACATTCCAAATCCATGAACAATTAAGAGATTAGCTTAGACGAGGATTACCAAGTTTGAAATTTCAAATAAAGAGATCCCAAGTTTTTATAATTTAAAAATGAGTCAAATCCATTCATTAACTCTTTAATCAGAGTAAAAACAAGTTATGAAAGTCCTCAAAGGAGTGAAAGAAGTTGAAACCTCACTTTGTTAGAAAATAGAGCAATACGCCATGGCTTGTGTACTCTGTGTCATGGCTTAGTGCTTTCTGTACAACACGCTGTTACAAGTTGCACGTTTTCTAGACAACTGATTCTGCTATCACTCACTCAGCAAAATCAAGTAACTTTCAGCTTGCTCCATTTCTTTGTCTAACATTTGAATGATTTAATCTAGGTATCTACAGAAAGCCTTTTCCATCAACTAGCTAATAGCATGGGTTTTACTTTCAAATAGGTCACACTAGGAAGTTGGACACTCAAACACAATTTTATCACTTTTCTCAACTTTTACAACCAAAAGGGTATCCAAAACCCTATACAAATGCCAAAAACTTTTTTTAACACCCAAATTATATTCATTGGACTTAAAACTACTTGTACAACATATCACAATTACATAAAACACCAATATAACATAATTTCACTCATCAACCCCTTAATGCCAAAATAGAAAGGGGAGGTAATTTCATTGTATGGCATTCAAAATCATTCATATCATACTTAAACAACTTTCCTATACTTGTACTAGTATTTTAGCCCTAACAATATTTACAACTTTTCATAAACCATATCCCAAGGTCTAAAATACTCTCATACATCATAAATCATTATATAGTGCAAGTGTAAAACAAAGAATGCATCTTAATTGGCAATATGAAATCTATCACACAAAATAAAGAAGTATACACTAGGAATATACAATTCCTAAGCCTTCGGAGCTTTCTCCCTCTCTGTACTTAAGCTAGAGCTTGTAAAATATTAAAGAGGAGGGTGAGTCTAGCTACTCAGTAACTAAGGTACCCTATGTAGTTATATATCAATTGAAATAAACACATAGATGTGAAAATAGATTTTTCTTAAAACATATATTAACACATAATTGCATATATATCACAACATAACATTTCTCAATCCACTTATTTCTATTTAATCTCATGGTGTAAGCTATAAAACACTCAAACATGTGACCATGACCCTATATATTGAAAAGACTTGCCATAACTCATTCATGTGACATGTCATATAATCATATAGGCATGATTAAACCATCCTTATATCCTTCTTATTTTTCTCTGACGGAAACCATCGACTATAACACTGAACAGGGCTTTATCTGTGTAACTGGACTCCCAAGCTCACTAATTATGAGGTGTGATCTAGCTAAAGATTCTAGTGCTCACTCTCAGATCACGGTTTTCCCTCCTCTCAAATTTCTGGAGTGTCGTATACCCTAAGCTAATCTCCTCAATAAACTGGTGGAGATAGCTAGGTTCTAATCCTTCGATAAACTATAGAACAAAGCTATACTCTCGTGTATAGGAAGGTAACCAAAAATAATATATGAATTTTTAACTACTCCTCCCTAGGACAACTTTCGCCCACTGATCATGCCATGTACGATGCTCACTCACTATTCATAGATTTCATTTTCAAATCAGCACATTGGTCTCACAATCATGCTTTACCCAAGTGAGCATCAAATCTCATTATCTTCACATTTAACACATATATTTCTCATTTTCAATCATAGCACATTCATCATTATCATTCTCAATCATTATTACTCATTTTAATGTTACCATGCAACTTTGAATTTCACTTTGCAATAACGTTCACTTATTTATTTCAAACTAAAGCAATTAAATAATCACATGGCTTCATTCCATGTTACACATATTCACAAATCATAAATTTGCAAGATAAATACATATTCCATATCATATTACAATTAACATGCAACTATCCAAAGCAAGGTACCCCTGATTGCCTTAAACCTTTGAGAGTCAAAGGTTTTTCCCTATAATATTTTAGCTTCCAAGCATGACTTGTCAAGCTGAAATGGTGCCCAAATGCTCAATCCACAATCCATAAATTTTTAATCTCATCAACATTGTCAGAAGCAAGGTTTCAATTCTCATACTTTTACTTCTAGAATATCTAATGCCTATATTTCTCAATTTTTAGGCTTAACCATTAAGTTTATTAACTCTCTTTAGTCTCTAGTAACATTAATGAGCCTTTAAACTCCTATTAGTGACATTACAAGTCTTCTAACAACCCTCATTAATGTCATTTGTGAATATTAATGACATTTACCAATGAAAGATGTTAAAACTCATTAATTTTAGGTTTAAATACTCCAATCAACTCCCATTAACTCTATTTGAATCAATGAATTCTAATCCATAACCTATATTAACTAAAAATCATCTCCCATTATTAAACCCTAACTAAAAACTCTATAATATGAAAGGGATAAGGAGGAATGGAGTGTATGATACTTACCTTAAGTGTTTTCTAGCTCCAAAATGTCTCAATTACCTCTAAAAATGAACCTTAGTAAAGCTTCTTACTGGTCCTTCATTTCCTCCATTTTCTCCTCTTCAGTTTTCTTTTAGTTCACGATTACTATTCTGTAGAAAAGGGCTGTATGCCATAGCGCATGGCACAGAAAGGTCTCCTCTCGATTCAATTGTTGTTTATGTTTCGTGGCAAATGTATTTAATGCCATTGCATGTGGCACAGACACGCTTCCTTCACAATTTCTCCTCTTTTCAATGTCCAGGTAGCTCGACTTCTTCAAATTCATCATAAGGGCTGAAACACAACCAAAAATTAATCATTAGACCTTCTTGGCCACATACTACATCAATTTACTTAATTATCATAATTAAGCTTAATTGATCCCTTAGTAATTCGGGGATTACAATTTGGAATATTGCAGATACAGAGCAAGAAACCCTAAGTTAGCCCCTTTAATTAGGCCCAAGGTGGCATAAGAACACTTATGGTTTTTTTTAGTTCCCATATAGAGTTCAATATACACTACAATACTTTTGCTTTATAACAACAATTCAAAACTGTTGCTATAACTTTAAAAACTATTGTCTTTAACTTTAGGCAACATTTTTCAACTGTTGCATATTCCTAATGTTACCTATTGTCTAAGGCAACAATGTTCTAAATTTTAGGCAACACTTAGCAAAAATTGTTGCCTTAAAATATAACAATAAGCAACAGTTTCCACGTCAATCTATCGCAATAGTTTTGAACTATAGCCTTTCTATAAGAATAGGCAATAATTAAGAATTGTTGCACAAACTTAAAATAGGCAAAATTTAATATTTCTTCTCCTACCTAGGATTTGAACCTTAGACCTCTTGGATATAAGTCTAGCCTTTAACCATTCTTCCAAAATTACTATTATGTTATTTGTTACAAAATATTATTGATAGATATAATTTTTAAATTAACTTTTGAATTAATTTAAGAAGTGAAATATTAAATTAATTAAATAATAAATAAAGTAATAAGAATATGTTAAAAATTGGATAAAAAATGAAATTAAATAGTTTTTTATATAGGTAAACAATAGGCAACAACTCTTAAGTGGTGTGAAAAGGAACATTTAAAAACAATATTAATTTTTTTGTTGTCTATTGAAATAGGGGATAGTTTTCAAATATTGTAAAAAAAAGAAGTTTTATAGGCAACAGTCAATAGGTAAAAATTATTACCTATTCCATTTTAAAGTATAGTTTTCAATTGTTGCCAAATAAATGTTGCTTAGACTGATAATCAATAGCAACGTACATGAAATTGTTGCTTATTCATGTATTAGGCAACACTTTTAGAACTGTTGCAAACTTATTGCTAGAAGTCAAAAATGTTGTAGTGATAATTGACCTAATAGCCATCTATCCACACTAATTAACCCAATAAAGACTTCAATTAACTAATTTAATCCCTTAATTATTTTAATTAATCTTATCTTATATTTTAGGATGCTACAAAAAGTGTCATCTCATCATAAATGTATTTTATTAGCTCCAAATCAATTTTTTATGCAACAGTATAAAAGCTAAATTACAAAAAAGTAACCTATGTCTTTTTATATATTACAATAATACAATAATAATACTTTCCTTTGGGCTTGTTTATTGTTTTTAATATTTCAGGGATGAATCAGAGCTCATTCAAAATATTATCAGCCATGTTATGCAAAACATTAGTGTCAGGTGTCCAAGTTCACTGGCAGTAGTGGGTCTTGTTGGAATTGATGAAAATTGTGCCAAGATAGAAAGGTTATTGGAGAAAGATCCAAAAATTGGAATTTGGGGGATGGGCGGCATAGGCAAAACAACCATGGCTAGGGCTTTATTTTCCAAACTCTCCTCCCAATTTGAGAGGAGTTGTTTTTTGGAGAATTTAAGAGAAAATGTGAAAAAGTGTGGATTGACATATTTACATGATAAACTTTTCTCTGAGCTTTGGAAGCAAGAAAGTTCCTATAATAGGCCACTGTATGTTGATGAAGGTTCTTACGTCATGCACATACTAAGTCGTAATAAAGTTTTCATGGTGCTTGATGATATTAGCAATAGGAAGCAATTAGAGTATTTAGCTCCGTATTGTAATTACTTGGAACCTGGTAGTAAAATCATCATTACAACAAGGCATAAGCAATTGCTTAACATTGCAGGAGTTAAAATATATGAGGCCCAGCCTTTAAGTGATCACAAGTCTATAGAGCTTTTCAATCTCAAAGCCTTCAACACATACCATCCAAAAATTGGATATGAATTCCTGTCAAAAAGGGTTGTTGATTATGCAAAAGGAATCCCATTAGTTTTAGTAGTTTTGGCTTCATTTCTTTCTTTAAAAACTCCAAAGGAATGGGATAATGCATTGTCAAAACTAAAGAAGGGTCCCCATGAAGAAATTCTAGAAGTGTTGAAATTGAGCTTTGATGGGTTAGATTATGAAGAGAAGGAAATGTTTTTAGATATTGCATGCTTCTTGAAAGATGAACACAAGGAACATGTAATAGCACTATTTGAGAGCTATGGCTTTGATGCAACAATTGGCTTGACAGCCCTTGAGGATAAAGCACTTGTAAATATTGATAACAATATGCGGGTGCAAATGCATGATTTGATTCAAGCCATGGGTTGGAAAATTGTTCGTCAAGAGTGTATGGAAGATCCTGGAAGACGTAGTCGATTATGGAATCCTTATGAGATCTATGACGTATTAAAATATAATCGGGTAAGAAAAAAAATCACTTTTAATTTCCAACAAGATATCTAATAATAAGTGAAAATAATTGTTAATATATTGCAATTTACTTATTTGAATTTTTGTTTTATGTAGGGAACTAATGCTATTAAAGGCATAATTGTAAATTTATCTCAAGTTCGAGATATGCATTTGAGTGCCAATACTTTTAAAAAAATGACTAATTTAAGGTTTCTCAAGCTCTATTCACCTACATCTAGAGGTGAAAGTTCGTGTATTATTGATAAAGGACCTAACTTATTCCCCAGTTCATTGAGGTATCTTCGATGGGACAATTTTCTTATGAAGTCTCTCCCATTGTCATTTTGTGTTGAGAAGCTTGTAGAGATTTGCATGCCTGGTAGCCGACTTGAAAAATTGTGGGATGGAGTGCAGGTATGCACACACAAGAGTTTTAGTTTTTCAGTTTAATTTAAATTTGAGACTTTTTTCTGAGTAATGTTTCTATTTTTTATTTGTTTTAGGACCTGGTGAACCTGAGGAAGATAGATTTCAGTGGATCCAAACAATTGATTGAGTTGCCAGATTTCTCCAAGGCAAAAAATCTTGAAGTTGCGGATCTCTCATTATGTGAAAGTTTATGTCATCTCCATCCGTCTATTTGGACTCTCAGAAACTTTACTGGTTGAGGCTTGGAGAGTGCAAAAACTTGAAAAAATTGCAAAGTGAAAGTCATTTAAAATCTCTTCGAAAACTTGAAGTCAATGGTTGCTATAGTCTCAAAGAATTTTCATTATCATCTAAGAAACTCGGAAGTTTATATTTGGAAAATACAGGCATCGAAATATTGGGCTCATCAGTTGGGCGTCTCGAATATCTTTCAATGCTCTCCCTTAATGGCTCAAAGCTAAAAAATCTTCCAGTGAAAACGTTTCATTGCTTGGCACATCTTACAGATCTTCGCCTTTATAATTGTGGAGAAATGATTGACAAATCGAAGTTACTTATCCTATTTCGCGCCTTGACATCCCTAAGAAATATTACATTGGATGGGAGTTCTAAATTAACTAAACTTCCCAAAAATGTAAAGCGCCTCCAGTGGCTGGAAAAGCTTTCGTTAAGGAATTGCACGAGCCTTCAATCTTTACCAAGGCTTCCACGATCCCTTGAAAAGTTAGATGCCGCCAATTGCTCATCATTGAAGATTTGGTTGCCTCAGAAGATAATGCAAGGTTTAATGCACCCTTCAATTGGCTATCTCAGAAATCTTAGAAAGCTTAATCTTTCTGGTTGCCAACAATGCCTACTCCCTGAATACATGGACTTCTTATCATCATTAGAATCATTGAAACTTGAAGGGATTGATGTAAAGAGCTTGCCTACGACCATCAAGCATCTTCTAAACCTAAAATACATTGACTTGACCAATTGTCAGAGTCTTTGTTCTCTACCAGAACTTCCACCATTCATTCAACAAGTTAAAGCTACCAATTGCATATTACTGGAGACTGGAGTCCCTTCAATAACTTATACACAACAATTAAACTTCTTGTATCTAGAGAATTGCTCAAAATTGGATGAGCAATCTCTTTCCAATCTTGCAGAATGTGCTTATTTCTCATTGAAACGAAGGGCATATACAAATGAGAGAGGCGGTGTTTGTTACCCAGGACAAAATGTTGCAGAGCCGTTTAAAGATAATCTCACAACCGAGGCTTCCAACTTCATAACTATTGAACTTCCCTCCCCTGCCAACAACTTGGCGGGCTTCATTGTCTACTCTCTTCTTCCACAATTCATCCCAGAGCAAAGCGCTCAGAACCACTTGGAATGTCAAATTTTTTATCAAGATGGTATGAAGGGTCCAAGATTGATATTTGACATGAGTTGCACAGAACTTAATTCGCACCACGTTTTTCTATGGTGTGATTATGCCGTCTTCACAAAATATGAAGACATCAAATATAACCCAAAGATTTCGTTTGAGTTCTCTGTTACGTACAGCGATGGTGTTCTCAGGATAACAAGAAATGATTGCTCGATCCAAGCTTGTGGAGTTTGTCCAATATATGCCTCAGAGTATCATAGCTTCCTTGAACAAAAGAAATTGATGGGTACTCGAAAAAAGACGACGGAAATTATGGAATTTGCTAGGTTCTCACTCAAGCGAGAAAAGCGTGGCCACTTTGAAACAAGTATTATTCCAAAGTGGTTTGCCCACCAAAGATCGGAAACAGAGTCATCATGTATAAGGATAAGTGTTCAGTTGCTTCCGGGTGATGAAACCAGCAGTATATGGTGGGGTTTCATTTTCTGCTTTTATATTCCTCAATTCTCCTTAAAGGAAAGGGATCGAAGTCACTCAAGATCTGCTTGCTACTGGGAGGATAGGTTTTATAAAGAAGGCCCAAAGGGATGGCATTATTCAATGATAAAATGGAACTCGGATAATGTTTTCCTATGGTATGATCCCTTCTTTAATGAATCTGTGATAGATTTTGTTGAAAGAAAAGGCTCAATGCCTAAATCTGAAATATTCAAGCAAGTGCTTACTTTTGAATTTGAGTTTGGGGATTGCTTGATCAAAGAATGTGGATTCCGTCTAATGTATGAATCAGAATACAAACAGTTCCTTCAAGAAAATAAAATGAAGTTGGAGTAAACTACAGGAAAAAAGATGCCCCGAACTCGAAATATTGATGAGACCAGCAACTCCCTTCTTCAAAGAGACGTCTTCAATGCCTTTAACCTGAGTTCTGTGTATGATTGCTTACCTTAATCAGGTATGTGTCTCACTTCAATACTCTTAAACTGTAACATTTCAGTGCCTGCTTGGATGCAAAAAATAATTAATTATTTTGGGTAAAATCATGGTCTGGGTAAAAAATACCCAAACACCCGTGTTTGCTCATAATCAATTATTTGACTCAAAACCAAGTTTTGGCTTAAATTGAGGAGCGGTTTTTGAATTTCAATTTTCCTGTTATGAGCATTTTATTATTTGCTAGAAATACCCACCTGCCAAATATACCCTTGAACATTATTATCTTTCAGTAATGCCAGACTCTTTGATTTTCTTTTCAGTGTGAAAATAAATTTTTTGTTTCTGTCAAATATATGCTTTCACGTCTTATATGAACATGCCAAAATTCTCAGATTTTATTTATTTATTTAGTGCTAGGTGTTACTTGATCAATAAGGTATTTTTTATACAAGGATGATCCTTAACTAGAGTAGAAAACATAGATGTGTTAACTGTGTTTTCAATTTTGCCATCATATGCATTTATTATAGATGTGTTAACTATGTTTTCAATTTTGCCATCATATGCATTTATTATTATTTTTTACACCAATTAAATTATCAATATGCCTCCTACTATTTGATAATTTCTCTCTAGTAAATCTATGCACAGCTTATCCTCCACCCATCTCCTACTTCTGTTCCGCCATCCCAAGCTCTCATTCTTAAGCCTCCTACAACAATATGAGGTTTTGATATTATAATATAATACCAAGACTCCAACTATCAATAAAATATTATATTATAATGTTAATTATTGAAATTATGAATGATCCTTCTATTTTTAATATTATTTTTAAATAAAATTTTCATAATTAATTAGGTATATAAGTTAAATAATATATTTTTCCTTGTTAAATAAAATTGAACAAATTTAATAACATTATATACAACTTTATCAACATTTTAATTTTCAAAAGCAATGTTCTTTATTGTAATTTTTATATCTAAAATTGATTCTAACTAAATCATTCAAACATCTTTAATTTTATCAAAATTAATTTCAAAAAAATAGTGTCCAAACATGATCACATTATAATATAATCGATTATAATCAAAATCAATCATGTTAATCAATTTTTTTATAATCAAATTATACTCAACTGAAATCCAAATGAGCCCTCAATCATGGTTAATTAATTAGCTTTAATGAATGATTATTTGTTAATTAAAAAAGAAATCTAATGTTATAATTTTTTTATTTAAAATTATTTTCAAATCAATCTTCTAATCTTGTAACGATATCCAAGAAATCCTTACTTGATATCAAGTTGTTTAAGTGATCTTTGAATGATATTTAAAAAAAATTAGAAAATTAAATTTTTTATAAGTCAAAGATGTTAATTAATTATCTTTTTTAACAACAGTAAAGTTAATTAATTTTATTTTACTCTATAGTTAGGTCTTGATCATATGGTTAGACGCAAAACCATCTTTTAGTGGAAGTTTCAAGTGTAAGTCTTTCATTTTTTTTTTTTTTCAATGATACTTCTATGTACATTGAACACGAAACGCGAAGTAAAATGGCATGGCTTCGTTATCAAAATGTTCTTTTTCAAGTGAAAGGGAAATAAACATAGAGTGTATGTTCCTATTTAATTAGTGTTCTTGTTATATAAATGTGTTGCTTTAACTTCTTAATTTTATGTTTTACGCAATGATTTTTACTTTTTGTCTTGTTCAAAAGGGACGATTCAGATTTCATTCAAGGAATTGTCAGTGATGTTGAAAAAAAGTTGGATCAAATGTATCCAAGTACATCAAAAGATTGCGTTGGCACTGATGAAATTATTAAACCCCTTGCGGAGTTGCTGGAAAAGTACTGCAAGGTTGGAATTCGGGACAGGGAAACCAACAATGGCCAAGGCTGTATTTGCCAGATTATCTTCTCGGAATCAAAGTTGCTGCCTTCTTGAAAGCACAAGGGAAAAATCAGACAAGTATGGATTAGAACATGTACGCATGACTCTTGTCTCAGAGCTACTAGTGAAAGGATATAAGCGTAGGAACTCATCAAGACCTCCAGGAGATGCATTTGTCACCAGAGGGCTCAGCAATAACAAAGCATTCATTGTGCTTGATGATGTAAATAATTTTGACCAACTGGATGATCTGGATAAAGTATGTTATTGCTTGAGACAACACAGTAAAGTTACATCAAGAAATAGGAAGTGCCTGTTTGGATAAGGAGAAAACGCGCGTTTTGAATTCAAAATCAATTTTTTCTGTCAATTTATCTAAACAGTCGAAAATGATCAAAAATTGATTATGGGCCAAAATGCACGTTTTTCCAGAAGCTCCCTCCATCCGCTTTCTGCCAAAAGTTTGTCAAAAACGTTGGGAAAATTACAAAAACAAGCCCAGGAAAAAATTACAAAGAAAGCATATAATTTAATAAAAATAAAATTAAACTCTCTTCTTTTTCTTTTTTTCCTTAATAAAATTTAAATTTTATATATTTAAAAAATTAATATTTGATATTTAAAAATTAAATTATATAGTAATTTATATAGTTAAAAATTAATTTTGATTAAATTATTCAAATATCTTCAATTCTGTTAAAATTAATTTTAAAAAAACAGTATCCAAACAGATTACGTTATAACATAATCAATTATGATTAAAATCTACCACTTAATCAATTATTTTTATAATCTATTATACCCAACTGAAATCCAAACGGACCCGAAATTGTTTTGTGGAAGAGGTTATCAAGTATATGAGGCCAAGGGATTGAGTTCTAACAATACCCTTGAAATTTTCAAACGCGAGGCCTTTGGATCAGACCATTCAGGACATGGATATGAATATCAACAACTCATAGAAGAGTTTGTAGATTATACTAAACACAATACCCTAGCTTTGAAAGTCTTGGGTTCACTTCTTCACTCTGAAAATGTGGAAGTATGGGATTGTTTATTGGAAACTTAAAGAGGACTCCCAATGATCGTATTCAGCGGGTTTTAAAATTGAGTTACATTGGATTAGATGATAAAGAGAAGCAAATGTTTTTAGACATTGCATGTTTTTTGAAGGGTGAAAATGTAAAATTTGTTAGAGAACATTTAGAGAGCTATGAATTCTATCCAACTAGCAGCATGCAGACTCTTTTAGATAAGGCTCTTCTTGTTATTATGGATGGGAAAGTTGGGATGCATGACTTGATATAAGAAATGGGTTTAAAATTGTTTGAAGGGAGAGTGAAAAAAAAAAAAACCTGGAAGACGCAGCAAATTATGGGATCCTAGAGAAATCTATGATGTATTGAAAAATGGTGAGGTAGGAATTAGATACCTTTAATTACTCTTTTTTTTTTTTCAGAAGAATTGTCACCTTATGGCTTAGTTTAGTATCCTTCTAAATTTTGTAAACTTTTGTAATTTTTAGGGAACAGAAGAAGTTGAAGGCATAAAATTGGACATGTCTCAAATTAGAGATTTACCTTTAACTGCATATGCCTTTAAAGGAATGACGAACATAAGAACTCTCAAATTTTATTCACCAAGATCTGATTGGTCACACAATGTGCATATTCCAATAGGTCTTAAGTCGATTTCAAGTAGAATAAGGTACTTTCAATGGGATGGATGCCCAGGGAAGTCCATGCCATCAAATTTTTCTGCTGAGCATCTTATTGAACTTATAACGGCATCGAGCCATGTCCAATCACTCTGGGCAGAAGTGCAGGTACATATATATGTCTGTGTGTGTGTGTCTATATATTAAAATTAAAATTTAAGATATTTCCTGTTTAATATTTGTATTTTTTTAATTGTTCCAGGATCTTGTGAATTTAAGAAGATTAAATCTTCAAGGTTTTTGGAACTTGAGGGAGTTACCTGATTTCTCTAAGGCTCATAATCTTGAAAGCGTAGATCTGAACTTGTGTGTTATGTTGTCTAATGTTCATCCCTCGTTCTTATCTCTTCACAGTTTGGTTTCTTTGAATTTATTTGGCTACCAAAGCCTTAAGTGCCTCAAAAGTGAGACTCATCTAAGATCTCTCAAAGAACTCGACATTTTTGGCTGCTCTGATCTTGAGGAATTCTCCATCTCTTCAGCAGAACTAACAGAGTTAGATTTAACAGGAACTGGAGCAAAAATATTGTCCCCATCAATTGGGCGTTGTAGAAAGCTTAAATCACTCCAACTTGATGGTTCAAAATTGAAGAATCTTCCCATACAGGATTTAGGCAGCCTAAGATCTCTTGAATGTTCAAGGATTTACAGCCATATAATTGACAATGACAAGCTCCAAATGCTATTTGATGCCTCACAATACTGTATACAAAATCCGGCTTTTCCCAACTGCTATAACTTAACTGAGCTCCCAGACAATATCAGGCAACTCTCAAGACTGCAAGTGCTTGATTTAAGAGGATGCAAGAATCTTCAATATTTGCCGGAGCTTCCACCGACCACCATCCCTTGAATTCTTAGATGCCGCTGATTGCACATCACTTTCAATCAACTCTTTTCCAATGCATTCCTTCTCAATTGAACACCTTAGAAATCTCAAAAGTCTCCATCGCAATGCTTCAAGTCTTGGGAATCTTCAACTGACAGAGTTGTCTTGTTTTAGATTTCTTGTGGTACTTCGTCTTCGCAAATGCAGTCACTCAGTAGATGAAGCAAAGCTAAATATTCTAGTTGATGCCTTGCGACTGTTCGAAAAGCTACACTTGGAGGAATGGTCAAACTTAACTGAACTCCCAGACAATATCAGGCATCTTTCAGAGCTTCAATATCTTGCTTTAGAAGACTGCATTAGCCTTCAGTCTCTACCAGAACTCAGTCCCTTAGAAACTTGATTGCCTATAATTGCACATCATTGGAGACAGTATCTACATCAACAATTTCAGGCACGTTAAAGAAACATGGCAAAAGAATCTTTTCATTGATTAACTGTGTGAAATTAGAGTCGCATTTGCTTGGTGCCATAAGAAAACAAGTGGAGCTGTCATTGAAGCAAGCTGTGCATAATAAGGAAGATGTTACAATATATTACCCGGGGAAGAAGGTCCCCAAATGGTTTGGGGATAATCGGACACCAAAGAATTCAGTAACCATGGAACTCTCCTTAGATTCTGACAATTTGTTGGGGGTTGTATTCTGCTGTGTCATTCCTCAGTTTATCTCAAAGAAGGAATGTGAGGGGTCCGCCCTCTGTTTTACAGTGTCGATGATGATGAAGAAATGGAAACATTTTGGCTTTTTAAACCAGAAGATGCAAAATTTACTCCAGGTAATGTTTTGTTGAAGAGTGATGCAGAACTGTCTGAGTTGATATTGAAGAGAATTGAAGGGAGTAGAAGAAATCATGATGCCTCCACTTGTAACCGTAAGCTTTCGTTCAAATTCTCTTTCGGTAATCATCATAACTTCATCAAAGAGTGTGGAGTATACCCGATATATGCCTCAGATTGTCACAGCAACTGTCAACCAGGGAAATGGACATGGAGATATTTATAAGAACAACAATACAACATCTGCTAGAACCAGTTCTTCAATAACGCTGGCAATTTCATGTTCATGGAATCAAAGTCTTCCTTCCATTGCTTTTGGAGGAAAACATAAGAGAGAGAGTTGCAGAACCTAAAGCGAAGGGAAGAGGAACTACTTTTGATTCTGATAGAGCTGGAAAATTTATCAAAACATATGAGAGGTAATTGAGGGGGAGACAAGGGTCAGAGAGGAAAGATCCAGCTGTTTAAAGTTATCGTACTAAGGGTCCTGATAATGGGGAGTAAGTAATGATGCTTGTAGAGTGGCTATAGACTCGGCGTAGAAGCTAGAGTTACTTTTGGGTTGCTTTAATATTTTACTTTGTTTTGGGAGGGACTCATTGAGAATGTTTGAGTGAAGACACAAGTGACGAGAGTCCTGGTGTACCCAATATACGCCTCAGGCTCAGAGTATCACAATTTTGATGGGCTTGGGGATTGCCTACAGATTAGTGCAGCTCCAACTCCAAGTGCTGAGGTTGGTTCAGAACAACGGCACCAGCTGGAAGCTGTGGCAGAGAGCAGTGATCTACAAGGGAATTCGGAGCTGAATTTGCGTGCCCAGCCAGGACTCGTGCCATTTTCTAGATATTTGTTCCTTCCTTCATTCCATATTCAAAATAAACAAAGGAGGCGCCTGCATGAATGATGAGGAAGAAGGAACTCTAACCCCGTGAAAAGGAGTTGCATGCTCTGGGAAATGAATGATCACGAAGATATTTGTTCCTGCTTTTGCTTAATTGGTATCTCATTTTGCCTCCTCCATTAGGCTTCTTTGTGGTCCATGCAAATTTATTGATTTTGGTACTCTCCTTTGCTCTAACAACGATTACGTACCGGCGATTGTGAACTATGAGAGGTTTGCGGATAGTGAATGTTAAAATGAAGCTTTTTGCGTGCGGATAATGAAATGAAAAGTTAATAATGGTAAAATATCTACGTTATGTTTCAAGAAAGGATTAGATTACTTTTTACTATGACTAATAACTTATATCAGTTATTCGATGTCCTTTTTGTAAAATGAACGCACTCAATCTGTCCCTTTTGACTTTGTTTCCATCACCACGTCTTTCTTCAGAGGACTCAAATGCTACTCTTTTTCTTACGCCTATCTTTCTTTGCTTCAGAAGTAATATGGAAAATGATTTGAAAGAGAAGAAAGAACTCAACGACAAAACAATATCAACTGAGCATGTGTCGCTGTTGCAGCCTTCAAAATGCTCTTTTATATTAATAAAATGATGTGAATTAACATGGAAGGGTACACGGAAGCAATCTTTGTCAAAAAAAAAAAAAGTTACTTCAAAAACACAATAAAAAGAAGGGTGATAACAATCATTTGTTCATATTATTTTAATATTATTACCCTAATTTTTGACACTTTTTAAGGGTATTTTGTACATAGTATAAGCATTTAAAATCATTAGGGTTAATTTTGTAATTTCTAGAACTTTTGGGGGCAAAAGTTCAAATTTTTTAAACTTTAGGGGCAAACTGTAATTTTTGAAACCAATTTCTGAAAAATAAAAAAATTATTATTTGCTAATTTTTAATTCTTCATTAATCCTATGAGTTTAAGTTGAGTTAATTCAACTCAAATTGTGAGTAATTCATTAAAATATCATTTAAAATACACACGTTTTATACTTTAATTATACTTTTAAGAAACTTTGGAAACGTACTAGGTTTAGTTTTTGTAATCAAGAACTCTAAGAAAAATTTTCATAACTAAATTTATCTTCTAATATTTCATTTAATTACTTTAATTCACTTCACACATTTTTATAATTTACACTTAAATTGGATGAATTTGCAAGACACATAAATTATTTGTGTACAATTTGTTATTTAATGAGTTCATTATGTGTTTTAGGTTATAGGAAGCTCTTGAATGATGATGATAGCCCTTTGCAATGAAATTGAAGCCCTTAGATGAGCTATTTTAAATATTAAAATGTCACAAATAATTTATGAAATCTCAAAAAAACTAAAGGATAGTCATGACAATTTCATCTTGCAATTTCAATTCCCATTTTTTTATTTTTGTTATGCATTTTTCTATCATCTCTATCATGTTATTTTTGAATTTCTTCTTCCATTTTTAGACTATTAAATGTCTTCTACTTCCATTTATTATCATTTAAAAAATTCAGTACCAAAATTTATGGCCATATATGAAATACCATGTAAAAGGACCCTTATATCCACACAAGGCTTACATTACTTTAAGGCACTTGGTGGCATGATTTCTAGCCATTAAATTAATCTAAATGAGCCTTAAACACTCCCAAAACATCATAATTTCATGCTTCACAATGATAGCTCCCTCATTTACAATTTTTTACTCATCTCCCACCTCCATTCATCTTTATCTTTTTTCTCAAAAACACTCATGAATCCATGAACCTTTTTACCGTTTCTCTACCTTAAACCCATCCATTTCACTAGCCAACCCATCATTCAACTTCCCTAATAGTTCACACCATAACCCACTAAAAAAAACCATCATCTACTCCATTTCCATCTTGCTAAATAGCAAGGTTTTCATTCATAGTGATTTTTGAAGTTGGTCAACAAGGAGAGGCTATGGGGATGCTAATGAGGAGTGACTAGTTTTGTCTTCTCTTCCTAGGATGCATAGAGGAACTTTCTTTGATCTTTTGGTTTTGGATGGGAATTTCTCTTTTCTCTTTTCCTATTTTTAATTCCTTAAATTTTGATACTTATGACATGATAATGACAATGATTATTGGAATTGATCTTTATGATATTTGGTTAAGTATTATATGAGGTTATTGTGTTATTTATTTGTCAATTGAGGTATTGTCATAGTAATTTTGGTATTGTCCAAATCTTTATTTTATTTAATCCCTTGTTGCATTTTTTTTTAGTCACCTATTGTGAGCTTGTGAGTCATAGTTGTGCACTAAGCACACTTGAAGTTAGCTAATCATTTTCTTAATCAATTTAAAATTTCATTTGGTTAAAGGCAAGGGTTGAAATTAATAATTAACTTCATAATCAATTGGTCATTTTTAAACATAATTTAAGAGCTAATTTAGAGTTCTAGTTTATCTAAAGAACTTATGAATGCTAAACTTCTAGTGGTTACCAAGATGACTTTAAAATTAATTGGGGTTAAAAAGAAGTTAATTAGATTGAGCAAGGATCAAAGAGGGAGTTTATGTGATTAGGAAGACTATCAATTTGTATTTTAATCACAAATCAATTCATTTTTCAAATCTAACCAATCTTTAAAAACAATATCAAAAAAATTAGTTTTCATTTAATATTTGCTTATTTAATTTTTAATCAATCAAAACCAATTATATTGCTACTATTCTTGGTAGATTTAAACAATTTTGAGATTTAATTTTAATCAACTCCACAAAAAATTCCACCTAGTTTACTTTCTATATATATTGGGGTGTTTTTAATTTAATTTAAGTGCTTAAATGATTAATGCACATCAAAAGTCATATTGTAGTTATTCACATGTTGTTTGGTCAAACACTTGGTGGCTTTCTCATCGAAGCAAACAATATTAATTGAAATACCATTTGTTATCTATGTAGAGTTTCAAAGTGACTCGGATATCAGCAAAGGGAAGAAGCTTCCGTAACTATTCGACTTGCTCCAGCTACTGACAATATAATGGGTTTTAGATTTTGCTTTGCTCTATCAAGAGGTCCTTTTGCTCAATCTCACACCTCTCTCAACTGAAAATTGTGCCTATTTAATGTCAGCAAGGACAATGATTTGGAACTAGTTCTCTTATCATAACTTTGAATTGAATTCTAATTTGTTCTTTGTCCATTAACAAATCTTTTTTCCCCACCTTAGCTGTCTGTTTTGCACTATTTGCACCACCCCAATTGGGCCTAATAACAGACTGCTGAAAAACTCCTGGGGTTTAGCAAAATGTTAGCTTTTTAAGTACATTAATGATAATAATAAAGATCTTAAAATTATGAAATTCTAGAAAAAGACCGTGGTTATTAGTTAGGATAGAAATTTTTTTGATTGAATTTTTTTCCGTACTCATCTTTCAAATTTTTAGTATTCATATTTAATACTTTCAGAATTATTATTATCTACTTTTTAATTCAGCTTTTCAATTATTTTTTTCTAAGAATTTATCTAAAAATAATATAAACATTTTTTTTATAGAGTAGGAGGACTTTAGATTCATAATTGATTTTGACAAATAAAATGATATTAAAATATTTTTAAGAAAATCATGATTTATGTTCATAATGTATTTTAACATATAATAAGAGTGTTTTGATATTTTTAAGAAAATCATAATTTTAGATTCATAATTAATTTTAGCATGTGTAATAGAAATTTTTAGATATACTTGTAAAAAGCTATGTTTTTTAGCCTCCAAAATTCATTATTTTAACCATCCAAACATGCACTAGATTTGTAATATTTGGATAAATATTTTGTATAGTACTTCCTCCGATCCTGTGCATTAGGCATTTTTTAAAGTATAATTTAATCCACTTTATAAATTACTAATTGATAAAATTATTTTGTTTTAAATTAAATTTTTAAATTACCCTTGAAAAGTAAAAAAAAATGAGACAAAAAATAATATTATATGGTTCGATTATTTTTTATTTTTAATTTGAGGATTATGTTTAGAATTTTAATTATTTTTATTTTTTATACTTTTGTCATATTAATATTAATAAAGTTGATAGAAATACTTTATAAATAGGAGCAGAGAAAATGTTTAGGTAATTGTTATTTAACTATTTTTCTCTATACGTACCAACCAACTTGGCCCAAAAAAATGAGAGAATGACAAGGAAATTTTAAAAAATTAATTAATTTAAATTAGGTCACAAGTATTAAGCTTCAAAAATTTGTAAGTTCATCTCTTAATTTACAATTAAATTATAATAAATTTATAATTTATTTTTTAAATTTTAATATGATTAAAGAATAAAAAAAATTATTTTTTTATTAAAATTTAAAATATAAATTATAAATTCATCATAATAAAATTATAAAATTAAGAAGTTGAGTTATAAATTTTTAAATTTTGATATTTAAAACTTAATTTAAATTAAAAAATAAACCTCTGTACCACTCCCCCCAAAAGAAATACCCGTGAGCTGACGAAAATTGCACGTCGGCCGCCTTACATTACGTTGCTTTCCAAAATCCAGAGTCAACATCAAGAATTTCAAAAGTCAACTTTTCCATCTGACTCATATAGATATATATATATATATATAAACTTTTCCATCTAATCTAAGGATTATAATTTCTTCTTAAAGATTAACGTAGAAGCAATTTTATAAGAAACTATTGATATCGTCATTAAAATTTTTTATCTACAATCAATAAATCAATATGACTCTAAAATATAAAATTCATAATACAATATACTAATATACTTCACAACACATAAAAAGATGTTTAATTTTAAACTAAATGTAATAAGATTTTTTCCCCGAAGTGTAATCAGAATATCAGGTATTCAATTTTTTTAAATTGATATTATTTTCAACGCCACAATCCACATCACTTTTAGAAACTTCATGAAAAACACGTAAATTTTGTTACAGATTTTGAATTTGGACTAAAATAATAGTTTTTGTGGAACACAGTGTAGGAATTGAGCTTTGGGAAAATTGCTAGTTAATGTCTCTCGACTAAAATTGTGCTGCAAAGGATTAGGTTGCAAGTTCCACAAAAACTAGCTTCTAAAAAATTCCGTTGTCTGTTAAAATTCTCAGGGAAGAAGAGAGAGCTTAATATTCTTGAATCCTGAACATGGGCATTGTTGCTTCATCCTCTTCCTCTTCCTCTTCTGCATTTCCTTCCAAAAAGTACGATGTATTTATCAGCTTTAGAGGAGACGACACTCGCACCAGCTTCACTAGCCATCTTTATGCTGCCTTATGCCGAAACAAGGTAGAAACCTACATCGATTACAGACTTCACAAGGGAGATGAGATCTCACCTGCACTAATCCAAGCTATCAAGGACTCCACAATATCTTTGGTGGTGTTGTCACAGCACTATGCTTCCTCAAAATGGTGTTTGGATGAACTCGCCCAAATACTCCAAAGCAAAAGGGATCTGGGACAGATTGTTATTCCTGTGTTTTATAAAGTTGACCCTTCTGATGTGCGAAAGCAGCAAGGGGCTTGCAAGGAGGCATTTGCAAAACACGAGAGGGCTTTTCGTCGCAACCTTGACATGGTGAACAAGTGCAGAAATGCTCTTTCTGAGACGGCCAACTTAGCTGGATGGGACTCACAAACTTGGAGGTAACTATTCATTTTCCCCACTTAAATTTGATGCGTTTCGACTAAATACTTTTCTTGTCATCTATCTATCTATCGATTTATTTTTGGTTCAATTTTAATTTCACTAGGGATGAATCTAAACTCATTCAGAATGTTGTCAACGATGTTCTAAGGAAACTGAATAATAGGTATCCATTTGCGTTGAAGGATCTTGTTGGAATTGATGGGAATTGTCAATGTATTGAATC